CCGCCGGTCCTCCCGCGCGGCGCCTATTCCCGCATTGTGTGTCGGCCGCCGCCGCTGCGGTGCGGGAGTCGGGGGGCTGTGGCCGCCGCTGCTGCCCGGGCGGAACGGAGCCGGCGGCGGCGGCGGCACTCACCCATAGTACGGATGCGGTGCAAACTGCACATGCTCGCGTCTGACAAGCGCTCTGCCTCCGGCCCCGCTTAACCCCTTGCTCGCCCGCTCGCCCGCTCCCCCGCCGGGTCCACTGCCCGGCCGACCGCACCGCCTCGCGCCGCCGTGAGTCGGCCGCGCCCCGGGCGCCTGGAAGCGCGCCCTCGGTCCGGGCCGCGGCGCAGGTGGCTGCAGTACAGAGCTCCTCGGCCCTCCCAGCCCCTGCCACCGCGCCTGCGTTTGAGGTGTCTGCAGGAGCCCCGAGGAGAGGACCAGCCGGGACCCCTCAGCTCCCAGCTTGTAGGAGTTGTGTGGACTGCGTGTACAACGTCCACTGCGGGTATCCTGTAGGTCCCAGCTACCTGAGGGCCACGGTGAACATGGTATTGCAGACCCACTATATGCCAGCATAATGTTCCGTGGACGTCCATTCATTGAAACGGGCCTACAAGATGAGTTTTATTATCCCCATTTCAAGATGGAAGAACTGAGCCCTGTGGAAGTTAAGGAATCTACCTAAGACAGAGCCTGAACGTCCAAGGCCCACAGTTTGGTTTATACCACAAAGATTAAACATAAGATTTTCCTTCTGAAGTCAATCTCGATTCTTCTATTGGGAGGTGGAAAATAATGGATGTCATCTAGAAAGCCTGGAGATTTTGGTATGTGGAACTGTGGGAAATCAGTGACAGAGGGCCCTGCCTTGAGACAGGCCCCTCAGGCGGGTCCTGGGTCCTGCAGAAAGGCTGCACAGGGAGTAGGAAGGCAATGCAACCCCAATCCCTACACCAAGCCTGGGTTTGGCCCTGGGCTCTGCAGCCAAGAGGGAAGGACATTTTTACAATTTCTAATGCCCCCTGAAGGTATCTTTTTGTAAATAATCCGTCCAGGGGGGTGCTCTTTTCTAATTCTCACACAGACCATATGTATGCCAAGGTCTGATCTGTGAGGTCTGATGGCTGCTTCCTTCCTAGCCTTCACCCCCTTTTTGTCACATGCCACAGTGACAGAGAGCTCTCAGAGGTGCAAGGCAGGACAGAGTCTTCTAAGAAAAGGAACCTGAGGTCCATCCGGCTGGCTGGCCTTGCCCCACTCTGGATGAGAAGCCGAGCTGCTGTCCTCCAGTCCGAACCTAATCTGATCTTAAGTCTTGGGTTTCTCAAACCCGCAGAGGAAGTGCACAGCCATGTGGTGCCAGTGGCAAGAGCTCTTGACTTCTCTGAGTTAGTTTCCTCCTCTAAGTTGGAGATAATATCGCCTACTTCATAAGTATATTGTGATGACCCAATAACAATGTATGTAGAGTCCTCAGTACAGTAGGCCTTCAATAACAGGAAAGTGTTTTCTGTTGGGGGTAAAGCAGGGATGGGGAGAAGCGATCAGACCTACAGTGAAGCATGTGGGCTGTCCTAGAACACTGTCAGAGAGGCAGGAGACAGCCCCCTCCCAGAAACACCTTGGCAAGAAGAGGCTCCAGTAAGTCTGGCAGCAAAGCCCACCTGCTGCAGAGGGACCTCCCTGGCGCCCCCTTGCCTCGGAGGACCAGTTCTGCTCTGGTTCTCAATCTGTGGCTGGCCGCTGATCCTACTCCCTTCTGGCTGGGGGAGGCAGCATTGCTCAGAGGAAAGCACAGCGGGCTGTTAAGACAGAAGATCTGAATTTGGGATGACTTATCCATTAGGTACTTTGCAGTGCCTAGCACCCACAATATTTTGGGGGCCAGCAAAAATGTTTGAATTTCTTTTGAAATCAGAGGCAAAAAATAAACTTTGAGGTCAAAGAAAATGTTTTCCTATATAATTTTAGTATAGAAGCCATAGTATATAGAAGCCAAGGTGCCAGTTACAGAATCTGAAGAAGGAAGAGTTGGGAACTAAGGCACAAGAGTTGGCGTCAGTCACTCTCTCCTGTATCCAGCTCTCCTATGGACTTAACTCCATCATCTGGGTCTTCCTCATTCCCAAATTAGGAATCATTTCTTCCTAATAAAAATTTATATAATGCCTTACAATGGACATATCTTCTCTCTTTGGGTAAGGCAGCTATTTTTAATCCCCATTCTATAAATGAGGAAATCAAGGCTCAGAGAGATTATATGGTTTGGTCAAGGTTATATTGCTAGTAAAGGCAGAATGCAGTTCAAACTTAGGTCTTCTGGCACCCCATCCAAGGTCCTTTCCATCTGCACCTAGAAGATTTCAAATAAGATCAGGTGTGTACAGGACAGAGCTGTCTGTTGCAGAAGCAGACCTACAAATAGCATCTGTAGCAGCAAGTGAGTCCCCTGGCTTTTCACCCAAAGAATGCTGAGACAAGCATGTGGTGTTCTGGGAATGGGTTGGGGCGGGGTGTCCCTGGGTGAAGGTAGGCACCATGATAGTGGTTCCAGTGATTCAAGTATAGATTCAAGGTGGAGGGCCATGGGGCAAACCAAGCCCCACTGCACTAACACACGCCAAAGGATGCCAGCCCTTTGACTTCTTGTCTTATCAGAGCAACTTGGATCTGAGTTCAGACTCCACATCCTAGCCAGATGTCTTAAGGCAGTTTATTTAAGCTTTCTGAGCCTATTTCCTCATCTGCAAAATGGAAATGGCGATAAAACTCAACCCCATGGCTGTTGCAAGCATAAATGAGATGATGCGTGTTAGGACCATAGCATAGTGCCAGGAAAACATACGTAGTTTGAATTCCCTGCCACCACAGGCAACTAACGGTCTTTCTCTTCACATTTCTCTTCTACCACTAGGCAGGGAAAAAGACGGTCTTTCAAGTGTCTTTGTGTTCCTAAAGTGCCTTGAATATGTTAGGTTCTTAACCATATTTTCTGAAAGACAAGAACTTTTCTGCCCTTCTACAAAGCAAACCATCCATAAAAGCGGTAGCTCTTGTCCACCATAAGTAGTTCTCTCAATGACTTTCAAGGGGAACCAGAAAAACACTTCTCTATGCTCGTTAGAAAGGACTGGTTCTTTGGGGGTTGCCCTCTGACTACAGGTCAGGAGAGATGTTGCTCCAGAGGGTGATTTCAGTGGAGGGACTGGGCTAGCAGCCAGAGCAGGAAGGACCAGGAAGGAGGGAGCTGGAGCATGGAAGTTGGAGGCCGAGAGAGAACTATGTATAGTCTGTCCCAGATGCTGTGATAAGAAAGAGAGGAGTGAGGTAGGGGTCGAGGAAGCATTGAAGTCAAAGGCAATCTTGAGCTTGGAATTATTTGGACCAGCTTAGCAGGAAAATAAGTTGGGTGAGAAAGAACTTGGGGAACCCCCAGGGAACCAGTCCTCCATAAGAGGCATACAGAAATCTTTCTGTTCCCTCTGAAACAGAAGGGAAAGAAACTTTCCCATGAAAGTCATCATGAAAATTACTTATGGTGGACAAGTGCTTCTGCTTTATAGATGGTGTGCTTAGTGGAAGGGCAGAAAAGTTCTTGTCTTCCAGAAGATATGCGCATGGTCTTGGCAGTAAGAGAGGAGGTCAAGGTAATCTGCTGGAGTTTGAAAATGGGTGGTAGGGGGGAAGGAATCTCTTTGTAAAAGCCATTTCTTGAAATAGGAAGGAAAGAGGCATAAAGAGGCTAAGGAGTATGAACCTGCACCATTTAGGATTCTTTGGTTGCAAGCAACAGAAACTGACTTTAGCTATCTTAAGTCTAAAAGGAATTTATTGGCAGGCTATGATCAGGTGGCTCACAGATATGGAGGGAATGAAGGCAGAACAGACTTGAAAAGGCTAGGACCAGGACAGCTTTGGGAGTCCAGGGAATGGAAAGTAACAGTGTCTCCTCAGGGCCTTGCTGCCGGAACAAAGGGGCTCCAATCTTTTTATCACTTCTGCTCAAGTGTAAGAATCAAATTTGCCTAAGTTCACTCATGCACCCACATCTTGGCCAGGGAAGGGCCAGCAGGATACCTGGATGTAAGCTCTATCAGCACCCCACATCACAACTGAGAGGTAAGACAGAGAAATCAAAGTGCTGTTACCGTTACCCAAAGGAAAGGAGAGGTTGCTAGGTATCCCCGGAAAAGGGAATGTCCGTGGTATGGGGGAAGCAAGTAGCACAGGAAATGTACACCTGACTCGGGGCCCCGTAAAGTTCTCAGCTATGAGAAAAGGTGAAGGGCGAAGCACAGAAGCCTTCAGAAAGTAACAGGAAGCTCTGAAAAGTACTGGGACAGGAAGGCCTAGAGTGTTGATGAAAATCACTTCTCGTGCTGGGGTGAGTATAGAGCTAGAGACAGGCCAACATTTTAGGGACTTTGCACAGCTGTGAGCTGTGCTCAGGAATGGATGAACAGTGATAGGGAAACAGGTGCAATAGGTTATTAAGGACGTCCTTGAACGTTTATTAAATGCCTCTGAGGAGTGGAAAGTGGTACCAGTGGAGGGGGAAGAGGCATCAGGCCCCAGGGAAATGGTCAAGTTGACTGCAGGTTTATCAGAAGGTTTGCTACCCACATGTCCATGTGGGAAAGGGGTGCGTACTTTCACAGAGCTCTCAAAATAATGTATGTTCCTACTTTAGGGATATTTAAAAGTCATGTCCTCTCTCTTTTCTTCAGTCATTAAAAAGAAAACTCAGTGGATAAGAACTATGCAGTATTCATGAACGCCTCGAGCCTGAAAATGAGGAACTCACCATTCTGTGATAATATGAATTCATCCATAAAGCATTACGACATTAACGTGTGTGCAGTAAG